AAAGGCAGGCATGGTACTACTGAGCTAAATCCCTGGCCCTTTTAAAAACAAAAAAAAATTTTTTTGAGACAAGGTCTTACTATATAGCTCAGGCTGGCCTCAAACTCATAATGATCCTCCTGCCTCAGCCTCCCGAGTGCTGGGATTACAGGAGTGTGCCACCATGGCCAGCTTTACTCTTGCAGCATCTGAAGTCTGCAGCAAGAGTGAATGTAGACGCAGCACCCACTGCTGCACCCTGGGCACCCCAGCATCAGCATTTGTTACAATGGTGGAGCAACACGGGAGCCAACATTCACCTCTCTACAATCCTCCTCCTATTTATTCCCTCTCACAAACCCTTGTCTCCATGGTACTGCTTTTTCTACAACGTCATATAGTTGAATCTTCAAATTTTGAATGCAGATGAAGAGTTAAGAAAAAGGAGCCAAGTGACCCTCCGCTTGAGGTCCCAAAGAGAAAGAAGTAAGCAATATGGAAATGAATGTATCTGAAACTGAGTGCAGAGGTGGAAACAAGTCCTCCATACATTTAGGGATGCAGCATGTGGTATGACTGACATTTCATTCTCGTAGGATACTGAGCACAGATGAGAAATAATGTTGTTTGTTTCTCCTTTTTTTTTTTTTGACACTGAACCCAGGATTGCTCTGCCACTCAGCTACATCCCCAGCCCTTTTAAGTTTTTTTGTTTTCTAAAACATTTTGAGATAGGTTCATGCTGTATTGCCCAGGCTGGCCTAGAACTTGCACTCCTCCGACTCCTACCGCGTGAGTAGCTGGGATGACAGGTGTGTGCCACTGTGCCAGGGAAAAATCATCTTTTAAGTGATAATTTGAGTTTGGGATTAATCAAGAAGATAATCAGAGAATAGCTTGATTACTGCTTTTTCTTCTGAGATGGCTCAACAGATTTGGCTTAAAAATGTTATATGGCTTATTTACTCTGCTTCTAAGTATCTTTCAAATTAATATCCTGAATCAGTGTCTGGTCTGTATCAGTGCCAACATATTACCAAAATCTCCCTCTTTCCCACCACCCCAAAATGATTTTATCTTAGTTAATACTTGATTAACAAATACCTGGAGCTTTCTTCTAGGGGCTTTTTTAGTTTAACATTTTTCTCTAGAATTTTGTGCCTCTCATCCTGCCAAAAGAAAACAATCCAGTTTATTAATTATTCAGGGTGCTGAACAATGATGATGGGCATTTTCTTCTCTAATGCCTTAGTTTAGCTATAGAGCTGAGTGGCTTTTTTTCTTAATTAGGGAAGGGATCTAACTTTGAAGTATGTTTCCTCATACTCTGCTCCAATTCATTTTTCTTTTTGGTACCAGGGATCGAACTTGGGACCTTGCACTTGTGAGGCAGGCAGCGGAAGCACTGAGCTAAATCCCTGGCCCTTCCAAGTACTTTCTTAACAGTTCTAATAGAGTTTTCAATAATAATTCTTGACATTCCTAGTAAAATTTAGTATGTATCTTATTTACTTGAAATGTGTCTTATTTACTTCAAGATAATTTAGTTCCTAGGCGGAATATCCATCCATCCTGCTCTCAACCTGACTGAACACTGAGAAGCTACAGAAGCAGTCATGGCTATATCCACTAACCGTGTCACTCTCCAGACAGCCACCCCCATGTGCTATGGTGTCTACAGCCCGTAATGTTCCCAGTGCCAAGGGCCTGCCTGGGCAGTTTACAGGCACACACCCTCACACATACGCACAACCGCTTTCTCCTGCTGTTCATACATTTCCATAAGTGCAATATGTATTTTTAGACTACTCAAATATCAAGGAAGAGTGGTTAGTGCAATGTTTATCTTCCTTGAGCCTAACACAGGGCAATTCAAGAACAAGAGATTTAAAGCCTCTTTGTAAGGTAGGCTAAGGTTTTAAGTAAGCCTCTGTAAATCTTTCAGGTTTTATGTTCACTAAACTAAAATAAGAAAAGCAGTATGCTTCATAGACTGGCTTTGGCATACTTAAAAAAATTTTGTTTTTGAGACAGGGTTTTGCTATGTAGTCTAGGCTGGCCTCCAACTCATGGTAACCCTCCTGCAACAGCCTCGAAAGTGCTGGGATTACAGGTGTGCGCCACCACGCCTGGCTGGGGCATGCTGGGTACTGGTACTATATAACCAGTTTACATTTACCACTTTTTATTCTCTAGTTAACCAGCAGTTCGTGCTTGAAACTATACCATGCTTTGTCATATGTAATAATACGCACAAAGAGGGCAATCTGTTTGATTGGAAACAATACCTCCTGCTTCTCAGAGTTCATTACTGATGAGGCTTCTCCAGCTTCCTGGTGCTAAAGAGGGCCTGAGCCAGCCTTAATTCCTCTCAGGCCTGCAGGCACTGGACGTCTCTGCTTTCAACTGTTCTGTAGAGATTTCTGTCTCTTGTTTGAATGATTCTACATTCTAAGTCTTCCTCGACCCTAGCTCCTTCTTGGAGTAGACTCAAATTGAAGTCCTCATGACCCAGAGAAAGGTATAGTGAAGCAAATCCACATGTGAGAAAACTCTGCTAAAGGGGAATTCAGGGTTGGAGGGGTTACTAAACCATATTATTAAAAAATTTAAGCAGAAATCCAAGAAAAGTATCTTTGTTAAGATACCACAATGATCTAAAAATCTGCAAGAGCAAAGAGAATCATTAGAAATGACTAAGTTGAGGTAGAGTGAGTGCGCTACAGGAAGGCTTACACTGGAACTTTTCTCAGCTCATTCCGTCTCGTTTGTGTGTGCTCTCCAGGCCACAGCAATAAAGCATGTGAGCATGAGAGGGGTGGGACATGTATACCCAGGTATCCTACACAAGTGAGTGAAGTTAATCAACAAGAAAGTAATTAACGTTACCGTGTTGGGGGCTGGCTTGTCCGAACCCTTTCCTGGCAGGCTCCTACTGTTCGGTAATCTTTCTCTTTCCTGTTTTAGTTCTAACTCAAGCTGATTCCTAGGATAAGTGGGAAAGAAAAAGGAAAAAACTGAATTTCTATATTCATATTTTCTAAAGAATGCTAAAGTTCAGTAATACTTGAGTAAAAAGCTATCAGCTTTAAACAATCCACTCTTTGAAGTACTAAAGTGCAATAAAAGCAATAATGCTAAGAACCATAAACTATGCTGAATCTTTCTTGGATGACTAAGAGTACACTTTAGGCTCATATGGTCCTTGAAGGTCACCTCTGAGCATCAGGGTGTGTGTGTGTGTTGTGTATGTGTGTGAAATGTGCCTGGACCCAGGACATCTGTACTGAGCTACATTCTAGCCCCTTTTCTTATTTTTTGAGGCAGGGTCTCAGTAAGCTACTAAATTGCCCAGGCTGGGCTGGAACCTATGCTCCTCTAGCCTCCATCTCCCAGAGTGCTGGTATCACAGGCATGTGTCACCAATCCCAACTTAAATATCAGCATTTTACATTAGCTCTTAATGAAGAGGTGTGGACCTGAATGACAATATTTGTTATAACTGAAAGTTATTTATAAATGCCAGCAAGATATATGCTGCCTTATAGTAAGCAGCTGGTCTCTTATGCTTCTGTGCTCAGCACCGGCTGCACCTCTGGCCACCAGTGTCCAAACTTCCATGTGAAATCAGTGGCTTCCGCACAAGTGAGTTAATTTGAGAGAAAACATGGGAGACCAGTTAAAGGCTGGAGTCAGGGGAACAGGATTTTAAATGACAGTGTTGCCCTGTCTTAGTTTCTGGACATGTTTAACCCCTCCATGCCATAACCCCCAGGAAAGTAGGGACAGTAACATCACTTACTGAAGGGCTGATGGAAGTTCCATGAGTGACTATGTATGCGGCACACATCAGAATCCCAGGAAACCATCAGTACGCTGGCTGTGAACTACTGTTTATCTGGAACCCTGAGCTATTTTATTTTTAATTTTTTGCTTGTTTTTCTGAGACAAGGTCTTGGCATGTAATTTAGGCCAGCCTTAATCACACATTTCCCCTAAAATAAGCCCTACCTCCAAGCCTCAGTTAAGCTGGTTGGCCAGATTGACGCATTTAGTACATCATTGTAACACACAGCAGAGGTACTGAATTATAAAATGATAATATGAATATATAAACAAACACTGAAAATATCTGAATGATAACAAATTATTATTATTCAGTATATGTAAATATGTAAGTGGGTGTCTCTGGACCAGAAGCAAATACCTGTGTAAACAAGCTGGAGACCTACTGCCGAATGCATGGATAATATGTGCATTTGACAAGAACAGATGCGATGCCTAATAAGAATCTCCACAATTCAGTGTGTCGGGTGTTGTAAAGATGTACTGCAGCAGGCTCACATGGAAAGGAAGTGCTTGTCTACGGAGAGCTCTACTGCTGGACATGAGGCTGGGACCAAAGGTTCTACAGGAAATGGAATCAGGAGAAACTCAGGCTGGAATCTGGGCTTTGGAGCGTTATGAAGATAGTCGAGAAGTAGAGGATGTGACTATATTGCAGTTAAATGTAGATTTCTGTACATGAATAAATGTTGATTGTCACAAATGAGAAAAATAAGACGTTCCCTGAAAATAATCCCTATTGTGTCTTCTGGAGTGAAAATTAATCTAAGACCCAGTCTTATTTTTGGGGAAATATAGGTATGTAGCTCAGGCTGGCCTCGAACTCCTGGTGACCCTCCTGCCTTAGCTTCTGCAGTGCTGCAATTACAGGTGTAAACGACCATGCCTGCCTATTTTCCTATGATGTTGGGGGAAGGCTGACGTATGTGAAGCTGTCCTGATTGCAACCTGAGGGAAAGGACACGGGAAGACAGGGTCCCGGGACTGCTTCCTGGCTGTCTGGCCTGACAAGCACCCAAACCCCTGCGGCTCAGCAGCCCTCTCTTCACCGCTGCCGGGTCAGCTCCTCCATTTCCAGCTGCAGACTGTTGATCTTGTCCCCGAAGTCCTGTTTGAAGAGACGGTTGTCCAACTCTGCAGACTGGCGGCCTTGCTCAGCCTGGCGCAATCTGGATGTGAGCCATATGAACTCATGATAAAACAAAAGCCACGGTGGGGGAGAACAAGTTCACAACACAAAATAAAACAACCCAAGGAAGAAGGCACGGAGAGACAGAGGGGAGGTACTTCGGAGGACACAAAGAAAGAAATCAGGAGGGAAAAAGATGGAAAAGAAACGAATTCTAAAGGAAAAAACAACAACAAAAAAAGCAAGATGAAGGTGAACCAGGCAGAGGAAAAGCTGATTTTCCACTTTTTTTATTCTAGTACTACAGTTTACAGCCATTAGATGAAAAACAATAAAACACCACTTGTTAGCAAATCCATATCCAAAGCCAACCTCAAGTACATAGTAATTGGAATTTAATCCACTTGTTTGCTTTCACTTCCTAACGGTCTGGGACTTTACATTTCTGTTTTACACATACAGCTGGAATGTGCATATGGGTAACTACCTTCTTGACATTTTTTTTTTTAATCACTAGAATTATACATTAGCCCTTACCCAGGCCTCAGGTTACTGTACATGAAGAGAATTTGTTAGAATTTGGCTGCCTCTTTTCTTTGCATTCCTGCCAAATGGTGTGTGAGCAACTGAACAAAGAGCTCAGCATGAAGCCTCCAGAAGGCTCCTGTCACGTTCCCTGGAAGGTTCTGAGGGATGCTTCTTTTAAACATTTTATAGCTGTGCACCTATAAAGAGTCATGTTTGGGGCTTTTCTATAGTAGAATCAGATGCATGCTATGCATAGTCTTTATTTGGCGTTTGATCACTCCTTCCAAATGCTCATAGAAAAGGCGACTCACTGCAAAAGTTAGATAAAGAATGGAGTAAGAGTTTTATTTATATTGGTACAAAATTAATAGAACTAAAACATGTTGTTCAAGAGCATAGGACCTTCCATGATATCTGTTCTAACATATATTATTTGACTTGATTTTGGTACAAGTTTATGCAAGGACCTAAAAAAAAAGACATACACAAAACCTATCTTACTCTCCTGATTCTGGTTTTGTCAGGAATAAACAGGAGATGGAAGCAAATGAATTATTTTGTCCCCACTTCTGCAGCTAAAAATGCTGCAAATCATACTGGAAAGAGAAAAAAGAAAAAAACAACAAAAATCTCAAACATTTTGTCAAGACCTTTTGCAAAAATGAAGGCTTATGTAAAAATCCTATTTCCACAAATAAAAAAAAAATCATTAAAAAAATCAGTGTTAATAGGATTATTTACAGTGTAAATCCACAAAGGGTTAGACCTGTGGTCATGTAGAAAAAGAAGCCCTGCTAATATTGCTTGTGTATATCTACTGGGAATCTTTATTTTCTATAGTAAATAATAAAAAATGTAAGTTTATTCTTTATCTGTTTCCTACTGAAATGTTTGCTAATAACTCAATTATTAGTTTCCGAGAAGCTGCAGCAAACCCTCATTTAAACAGAAAGTAACAGAAGCAGTGAATATCTCTAGGTAAAGAAACGACAGACAGGAATCATTATTCATCTCCATGTTGTCCTCCTTGCCAGTAAGAAAAGCAGAACAGATTTGAAAAGTGTACAGAGCATTTTTAATAGGAATGTTTTTATTAAAACTGTTTGCTCTGAGCTGCTTAACTGGAATTGGAATACCAGAAAAAGGGCCAAGCTGGAAGATGCCAAATATCAGGAGGGTTTCCTCAAGCTTCTGCATGATATTGTCTAAGTTACCTAATCACTAACTTTATCTCTATGTACTGTAAAGTGTAAGGATGCTGTTTTTCTTTTGTTCAGTTACTAAGGCAAAAATGTTTCAAGCAACTTGGGTAATTAAGAATATAACTGTAATGGAATACTGTACTAAGTACTTATTCTTGGCTTGGGGACTTAACCTACATAACAAACGTGAAAAGGGGTGGTAGCCTAAGACAGAACTGCCTCAGAGTCCAGCTCGCGCAGCGTCCCTCACAGCCCCTCCATGGCAGCGCAGGACAGGCTTGCTGATGCAGGTGTGGGCGTGGACCGGGCCCAAGAGTCGGTAATGTCAAGGCCTGGGTCATAAAGGCAGTGTCAGTGTATGTACAGAGCTTCAATTCTTTACGTTTTTTAATTGTTTTACTTATTAATCAACTCAGAGATAATTTAAGTTTATTTTGCATTTACTTTGGAATTTATACAAATTTCCTAACTCTGGGAAGAAAGTAATATAAAAAACCCAACCTACATATCCAACTGTTTTTAAAAATCCAACAAATTCAAAGCCAACTTTTGGTGACATTTTATATAGAACCAGAGCTTAAATGTAATAACTTTCAGATTTCTTCCTTTTACAGTTAACTTGGAATACGAGACTTGTGAGGTGACTAACTATATAAATGCCTAATGATGTTTTGGGATCAATTTATTTGCTGCACTATTTAAGGTCTTTGCCTGTTTCACCAGATCTTTTTCACTAAAAAAAGTAAAGATGAAAATGAAGTGGAAGGGGAATGAGAAAAGGGATAAACAGGGAACACAAAGATCACAAGAGAATAAGTCAGCGTAATACTCAGAGAGATGACTCATTATTTTAGTTTTACTTAAAATGCCAAGTCAAAAAAACACTGAAAAATAATCTGGTACACTTCAAAAGCACAACTGATGAATACTAAAATTAGTTTAAGTCATAAACTCATAACTGCTTAAAAGCCAGTTCTTAGATAACATTCTTTCCTGGGATACCATTTCTTTGGGGGTCGTACTGGGGATTGAACCCAGGGCTTTCAAACTGAGTTGCATTTCTAACCTTCTAATTTTTTTTTTTTTTTTAAATTTTGAGACAGACTCTCATTAAGTCATCCAGGCTAGGCTGTGATCCTCCTGCCTCAGCCTCACAGAGTGCTGGGACTACAGATGTGCACCACCTCACCCAACACCCAGAATACCTTTTCATTTACCATACACACCAGAGATTTCAAGTTTATTTATAAATCTGCAATTAATTTTGAGCTAAAATTAATATGCATTACTGCTCAAGGACTCTTCTTGGTTAAGAATCATCTGAAGAAAAGTCACTCATTCATTCATTAATATGCTCAATTTATGCCTCGTATATTCAAGGCACTAAGACAGATCCAATGATGGACCTTAAAAGATCAGCTCTCTAACCTCATGGAACTGAAAGATACGCTACACAGAGGATTGGAAGGTTAAGAGACAGTGAGAAGATCTGTAAGTGGTACAGAGAGAGATGAATATAAGGCTATGAAAATCCCAAGGACATTACTTCTAGCTGTGAAGAGGTATCAGGCAGAAGCTCTTGAGCTTATGGATGGCATCTGAGCCTAATGTAAAAAAATCTATCAAAGAACACTCCCAGTGGAAAGGGGAAGGGTATTTCTGCTTGGTGAACTATCAGAAAAGAAATGGATGTGAAAGATGGAATGCATACACAAGGACCAGAAGTTTGGTTTTGCTCAAGTGTAAGAAGGGCTAAGTCGGTGTTAAAAGTGCAAAGATCAGGCCCTGTGGTCCTCCTCACGATAGCCTGATAGCCCACTCTGTGTCCTGCAGGGTGCTTTAGCTTTTTAAATTCAGCCCAGGCTCTCTGGGCAGCCAGTTTCTTCCTCACTCTTCACTTTTACTTTTTCAAATAAACTTTGTCACTGTTCTTTATTTTGTACAAAACAAAAGTGCAAACATCAAATGATCTCAGGTGCTGCAATCAGCCTTCAAGTCTCAGCTACTTCTCTTGGCAGCTGAGTCACCCAGAGAACCCTGGGGTTTCAGACAGACACAGGGAAGAGTGTGCTCTGGGCAGACGAGCTATGAGCATGAGGTGGGGCAGCTGGCACAGGCATAGAGCAGAGCGGGACACATGCTGGAGGAGTCAGAGGAAGCTATGGCCATGCAAGAGAGGTCAGGAGAAAAAGAATGTAACAGAGAAAAGAGGAGAGGGTTCAAGGTGAAGAAGGGAGGGAAAGATCAGGAACAGGTACTGCTAGAAGGACCCTTATCTCAGGATCTGGCAGTAAAGTAGTCAAAGGTGATGAAAAATAAAATCACACAATTACAAACACATACTTAAAAGACCTTTCATCTTTGCACTTATACTTCTCATCATGACAATGAAATGGGTTCTCTTTTCTTTCATTCTGTTTTTGAGACAGGATCTCACCATGTAGTCCAGGCTGGCATTGAATTCATTACGCAGCCCAGCTGGCATCAAACTCAACAGTGATCCTCCTGCCTCAGCCTCCCAAATGCTGGGATTATAAGGCATGTTAAGTTCCTATTTCTTTCTTTTCTTTCTTTCTTTCTTTCTTTCTTTTTTTTTTTTTTTTTTTTTTTT